AAAATATAGTCATCTTGTTGGGTTACATACATGTTTAACATAGTATTCACTTCAAACAGTTTCCAATGGTGTATCAACTGGGAAGAAAGGGTAAAGGTAGGAGGGGGGGTATACAGGGGTTGAGAGTCCAAGTCCAAGTTGTTTAGTATTTGCTTTCTTTGCTTTCTTTTGGTTAGGTAGGAGGGAGGGAGGAGTTAGGAATCTTGAGGGATTCGCTTCGTGGGGTATTTTGTCACCCAGTAATTGTTGTATTGTTGTTGTTACCTGTGATCGTGCAGGTGGCATAGTGTCTGTTGCTATAGTAGTTATCTCGGGAGGTGAGTTTTCGGATTGTGTGCTATGGTGCGGTGGGGAGGGGGAGGGTGGCTTCGTAGGTCTCCCAGACTTGCCAAGCCGTTTTCCAAAAGGTTGCTTTGGTAGAAAAAGCTGTTCTGCTTGCTATTTCATAGAGTTTAGTGGCGTTTATTGTTTGTGTACATTGCGGCATGGTTGGTGCTTCAGCCTTTTTCCATGACCTACCAATTTGTGTTAGGGCTGCTATATTGATTTGGTAGATCAGGTATCTGATTGTTTTAGGGAGTTTTGGTGGGTAGTTGTGGAGTAATAGGCAGTCTGGGGTTTGTGGTATACGGATGCCTGTGCTGGCTTGGATTAGATTTGTCAGTGCGGACCAATAGGGTTGTAGCACTGGACATGTCCACCATATGTGGATCATCGATCCAGCTGTCGAGGTGCAACGCCAACATTTGTCAGAGGCCTCTGGGTACATCTGTTTGAGGCGTGTGGGCACTAAGTACCATCTATAGAGGATTTTTCTGGATAATTCAGTATGGTTGGCACTGAGTGTGAGGGTTTTGGGGGTAATAAATATCTTCCTCCACGTTGCTTCGGGGAGGGTTTGTCTTAGGTCTTTTTCCCATGCTATGACGAAGGAGTGTCTAAATGTGGTGTTATGCTGTAATATGTTGGTGTATAGCATTGAGAAGGTTTTTTGTGTTGGTGTCAGTTTGAGTATGGTTTTCTCAAAGCATGTTAGTGGAGGTTCGTTGGGCGTAACCTCCACTTCGTTTTGGTGTTTTGTTGCCCACGAGTGAAGTTGCCTGTGGGAGAAGTGGGCTGTTGTTGGAAGTCCATGAAGGTTTTGTACCTCTGTGAATGTTAGTAGGCGATTTTCTTGGTATAGTTGATGTATGTGATGTATACCATGTCGTTCCCATAATTTGTGGTTAAAGTTTGGTATTATGGAGGGTATGGCAGATATTGGCATTGCTCTAGAGTATGGGGTTTGTGAGCAACATATATGTTTGATTTTTCCCCACACTTGTAGTGTCGCCGCGGTGGTCGATAGTAGTGTGGTGTGTTGTGGCTTGTTTTGTTTGGGGGCCCAGATTAGTGCCATAAGATCATGTGGTTTGACCGCGTCTCTTTCTATTGTTACCCACTGGGGGGGTATGTTGTGACCGTAAAGTGGTATCATGCTATTTAGGATGGCTGCCTGATAGTATATTTGGAGATTGGGTGCATTCATTCCGCCTTCAGGGGTTTTTTGGTAAAGGATACGAGCACTTACTCTTGGCATCTTATGATCCCAAATGAATTGGTTGAGTAGTTTTTGTGCTTCCTTGAAATATGTAGTTGGGAGGTGGATGGGCAAGGTTCTGAACAAGTATTGGAATTTGGGGATGATTATCATTTTTATGGCAGCTAGTCTGCCTGTCCATGAGAGGTATTTTTTCCGCCAGCTCGTTAGTATGGTTCGGGTTTCCTTTAGGAGTTTTTGGTAGTTACCTTTATATAGGCCTAGGGTGGTGGGTGTGATGGTCAGTCCTAGGAAGGTGAGATTGTCTGATCTCCACTCAAAGTTGTATTGTTTGGTTAGAGGTGTATGTTGGGGTGTGTTTAGGCTTAGGGCTTGAGTCTTGGTTAGGTTGAGTTTATAATAGGAGCATCTGCTATATTCCTGTAGTAGTTGAAGAAATGTGGGGATAGAGCTGTGGGGGGTAGTAAGTGTGAGCAGAATATCGTCTGCGAACAGCGTGAGTTTTTGCTCGCGCGGTCCAATTTGAACCCCATGGATGTCTGGGTTTTCCCTGATTAGTGCCGTGAGTGGCTCTAGCTCCAAGACATATAGCATCGGGGAAAGGGGGCACCCCTGCCTGGAGCCATTCGAGATCTCGAACGGAGTGGATGTGAACCCTCCTCCCACCACTTTAGCGGTCGGGTTGCTGTATAGGGTTTTTACTATTGAGATAAACGTATCTGGGAATCCATATTTCTGCAGGACCGCCAGGAGGAAGGGCCAGTGTAGTCTGTCAAACGCTTTTTCGGCGTCAAGTGAGAGAAATACACTGTGCTCCCTCCCCCGTAGGCTCTGTATTAGATTGATTACCTTGCGCGTTCCGTCGGCGCCCTGCCGCCCTTTGATAAACCCCACTTGGTCTTGGTGGATAATCGCTGGGAGAATGTTAGCTAGTCTATTTGCATATATTTTAGCAATTATTTTTATGTCTGTATTTAACAGTGAGATCGGGCGTAGGTTTTGCCCTTTGTTTGGGATTTTGCCTGGTTTGGGGAGAGTCGTGATGTGTGCCATGAGCATATCTGCTGGCATTGTCCCTTGTGCGATCATCGTATTGTATGTTTGGAGTAGTTGTGGTGCCAATATGTTTGCGTATGTTTTATAGTAAAAATTTGGGAAACCATCTGGGCCTGGTGATTTACCCGGGGGAAGTGACATTATTGTTTGGGTGATTTCTTGTTCTGAAATCGGGGTTTTCAGGGTTTCCGTATGGTGCTGGGGAATTTGCGGTAGGGATACCTTTGCCAGGAGGGATTGGATCTCAGACGTAGTGGGTTGGTGTGTTTGTGCGTCTGTTTTTAGATTGTAAAGCGTGGTGTAGTATTTGGCTAATTCATCCACTATGTTCTGTGGGTTGTACAGTTTTTTCCCCTCTGTGGTTAAGATGTATGGGATCTTATTTTGGGCGTATTTATGTCTTAGTTGTGTGGCAAGTAGTTTGCCTGTTTTGTTGTTCTGGGTGTAGTTTCGTGTTTTGAGTTTATGCATCATGTACGACGTTTTTGTCATTGCGATAATGTTCAGTTGATCTGTCAGATTCTCAATTTGTTTCATCAGGGTATCCGTAGGTTGTATATAGTGTTGTGCTGTGGCGTCTCTAAGATCTCTTAGGATCGTAATTTGTTCTTTTTGTGCTTGTTTTTTAAGGAACGATGCGCGGCTTAAGAGGAGCCCTCGCATGACTGATTTGTGAGCTTGCCAAATCATTATGGGCGAGGTTACCTTGTCATTATTTGTGGAGAAATATTCTGTGAGCTCTTTTTGGATGATATTGTGGAAGGTATCATTGTGCAGCAGGGATTCGTTCAATCTCCAGGGGGCATACCCTCTGGATGTAAACTGTGTTGCTATGGACATGACGTTGGGTGCATGGTCCGACCATACTATGTCTCCTATTTCACAGTGCAGTACTTTCCGGAGAAGTGGTCCAGTGGAGAGAATGTGATCTATTCTTGAGTGTGTTTTGTGGACTTGGGAATAGTGGGAGTACTGACGCTCTGTTGGGTGTAGGGCCCTCCATGTGTCGTAAAGGTTAAACTCCATTATTAGTTTCGTCATAGCTTGGCATTGTGGTTTGAGGTGATGTGTACGGGATTGTGAAGTAAGCAATGATGTGTCTAAAGTGTGGTCTAAAATGTGGTTTAAGTCTCCGCAGACCATTGTATTTTCGGTTTTGATGGGCTCGAGTTTTGAGAGGACTTTGTGGAGGAAATTTCTTTGTTGTGTGTTGGGGCTATATATGTTCACTATTGTGTACTTAACATCATTGATCATGCATAGGGCTATGAGAAACCTTCCCTGACCATCCGTGATCAGCTTGAGCAGCTCAAAGGAGAGGGATTTGTGGATAAGCAGGGAGACTCCTCTGGCTTTAGAGGTGTGTGCGGCGTGGAATTGTATGGGGTACTCGGCCAGGCCAAATTTGGGGATGCGGAGTTTTACAAAGTGTGTCTCCTGTATACATACTAGGTCTGCTTTGACCCGTTTGAGATCTTCCAGTAGTTTGTTGCGTTTGTGTGGAGTGTTGAGGCCCCTTTTATTGTGGGAGTAGATTTTCATGTTTGGGGTGGACTGTACCTGGGATAGGTGTTTCACTGCCATTTGTATGCGTGGTTGATGCCTACTTTCCCATTGGCTCTGAGGTTGAGGAGTATGAACTTGTTTTTGGAGGTGGTGATTGGAATATGTTCTGACTTTGTACTCTCATGGGTTAGGGGGTGAGGTTTGATGGGTACGGGTGTGGGTGACGTAGGAAACTGGGAGGGGGGTGGGAAGTTATATACAAAGTTCCCCGCCAAGGGGGAGTGGTGCAGTTTGGGTGCACCTTGGGGTTATCCGTATTGGTCATACGGTACTCGTGGCTACCTGGGCTCGTGGTAGCTTGTTGTGTGGTTTGGGAAGTCGTAACAGTTTTGTAACATTTAATATTAAACATTATTAGACATTATTAGAACAAAAGAAATAAGAGAAGAGAATAAAAGAGATACCAACATGCTTGTTATGAGCAGTACAAATGATACATGCATAAAAAGAAAAACCATGAGTAGACGAGCTCCACCTCTCCCCTCTCTCCCTGTGTGTGCTTAAGGTGAGCTGAGTTTTTTTTTTTTTTTTTTGTCATAAAGGCTTTGTGACCTTTTGTCGTCTCGTGTCCCAGTTATCGTGTACCTATGTCCCCTCTGTAGTTCGAGGTTGTCCCCATATGTCATGGCCTCCCTCTCCCACCGGCTGGGTGGCCTGTGGGATTGGTGGTCATGGTGTGTTGCATGTGGCATAAGTGTTGTTTGGTAGGCTGGTGTGGGGAATAGAGGTTGTGGGTATAGGTGGGTTGGTGGGATGCTGTGGTTGCAATACTTGCGTGTCTGGCAACCTGACTAAGAGATATCGGGAATGGAGAGAAGGTAGTGCCCAGTCCCAGTCCTTAGGCTTTTTTCCAGTCCTGGGTTACTTTGGTAGATACAGGTAGGGGTGGCTGGCGTCCTGCTTGGGAAAGCTGTAGGCCCCATGCTTTTAGTGTCTTCATTCCATCTGCTGGCGTGGTCAGAGGGCTGAATTCGCCATTTCTCCACACAAGGAGTTTTGTGGGGTAGCCCCACCGGTACCTGATGTTGTGGTCCCTGAGAGTTGTTGTCACCTGCTGGAACGTTTTTCTTTTTTTCAGGGTCGCTTGGGATAGATCTGCGAAGATCCTGATGCCTGCAAATTCAGTTGGCAGGTGTGTTGTGCGGCTAGATTTCAATATTATTTCTTTTACATGGAAATAATGGGCGCGCAATAGCACGTCTCTCGGTGTGGATGGTGGCAGGTGTTTTGGTTTCGGGATCCTATGGACGCGGTCCAGAAGCAGCATATCGGAGGGGATGTCCGGTGCTATCACGTTGAAGAGGTCTCGAACGTATCTGGGTAAGTCGTCCTGGAGAACGGCCTCTGGTATCCCCCTTAAGCGGAGGTTGTTCCGCCTTGATCTGTCCTCTGCATCCATTAATTTTATTTCCATGGTTTCGATGGTGTGCTGTAAGTGGGAGACCTGTTCCGCCAGCTCATTGTGAGCTGTGGCGTATTCCGCCATTTTTGTTTCAGTGCGGGTAGTTCTTGCGCCCAGGTCTAGGATGTCCTTGCGGAGCGTGTCCACGCTGGAGGTCCATGACTGAATCAGTCGTGCTGACAGTGCCTCCATGGCTTCTTGTAGGTGCCGCTTGGTTAAGGCAGTGTTTAGGGTTGGTTCCCCTGTCTCAGGGGATGAGCTGCCCTCGTCCGAGGAGCCTCCGCCATCCCGGGTTGTTGCCTGCACGTGCAGAGCCGTTTGGCTGGGTTTCTGCGTGAAGAATTTAAGTTTTGCTTCTTTGGAAGCATTCTTCTTGTGCTTGCCCTGCGACATGCTTGCTCTGGCCGTGTTTAATTTGCGTTATCGTCTGAGAAAATGCTTATTGTTAGAGCCCATGTGCCGCAGCAAAATTTTAAGCGGCCATTTTGCTCGGCGGTTAGCCACGCCCCCGTTTTTCAAATTATTTAATATTTTGTATACACTTTTAATATTTTGGGATTAACTTTTAAAATGATCTGATTTTTTGAGGGGTGGAGCCTGGCCGCTGACCAAGCCAGACGTGCGCAACATGGGCTCTGGCGACTGACACCCTATTATGGCGAAAAACCAGAGCAGAACACTTACCCGACCACAGAGCATACTCAAGCCTGTTCCAAACACACCGGTGATGCTGGGGATACCTCTCCGAAGTCTGTTCCGCCACTGGAAACCTTAACCCTAGGATCTGCGGCCTACCAGCGACCGGGTGGGGGAGAGATGGCAGCTCTCCTACTGCCTTGCCTGGTGGTAAGACGTTCCAACTAGGTCTCCCCCTCCCATGGACCGGCGGGGGTCATCCCGGTCCCCCCGGCCAGCCCAGTGAACTCACGCTGTGTTCGGAAGACCGACTCCGGCCACGTTGAGATCCCGGCGGACACATCTAAGATGGCGGACGTGTCCCCAGATCAGGGGCGCGTGCTGCACGGGCATAAGCTGTCACCACCAAGCTCCACAGATGACATACTGCAGGGCCTAGACAGGGCATTTGAGCGATTCTGTCAGCAACTGGAAGCTAAAATGCTACCCTCACAGCCCAAGCCGTGGTGGAGCCTGCACAATGGCAGGAACCTCGGAGGCCCAGACCTCCCTGTGGGGAAATTATACCAAAACAGACCCCTCAAGCCTGGCACTAACCCACAGGAGTGAAGAGCCAAGACAGCTGCAGCCGGAATACTCATGCTACGGCGAAGGAAACCAGGTGCCCGCACTGAGCGCATAGCAACCAGGGTCCCTCGCGGTGCTTGGGAGAGGAGGGCACCGAACCAAGCGACAGACCTCCAAGCAAGCCGCAACGAGCACAGAGGGTGCTCTGATACATCGACCAGTTGCCGCTAAACCCAGGGACCCGCCCGCGATCCTGGGCAGAGGCAAAGGTTACAACAGCTTTACCCTACCAGAGCCCAGCAGACTGCCGCACATTGGTGTTGCCGCAGCTCCATCAACGGGAATCGGATAAAAGGATCTGGTCCAGGACCGACTCTTCTCTGCAGCCACGGACTCTAATAGTACACTGCCATACCGTTATTGCAGGGAAGGGCCAGAGATGGCTATGCCACAGCACGCTACATTCTCACATAGCATTTTGTTTTCTCAGATCTCTCTAGACTGACCTCCTTAGACCTAGCTCAGAGGCTATTCTATATTTTGTTTAGCGCACTGACTCCATGTCAGTGTATCGTGTATGGCACCCATACCAATGTTTACTCTCAACCCAATCTCATATAGAAGCAATGCACAAGACATGGGTCACAGTCACAACAGACACCTAAGCGTGGCCGTACTGCTAAGCTTACATACTCATAGCCTGCACACCCTTATCTGCACCTATCTATAAGCAAAAGGTGACCTGTCAACTTACTGACCAAGCTGCCTTAGACCGCTTATGTAAAAGACGTGGTATGCCTGGATTACACATGCCAATACTAGCCTAGACCAGCACTACTCAAGCCTGTTACTCTAGATATATCAACGTATACTTTGATTACAAAAATTGTGCATTGTTTACTTGATCCCCACTGTATCTATTGTCTTTGAAATCAGCATGTGGAATGCCGATGGGGCACCACAAGCATGTTTGTTCCAACCATATGCACAACAAAAAATAAAGAATTAAGAAAAAAAAAAGATTTGATTTTTTAAAAAATATTTTAATGTGTTATTATTTTGATAATTTTATTATATATATATTTTATTTTGATGTATTTTTATATTTTAATATTTTGAAAAAATAATTTTAAAAGTTTATTAAAAAAATATGAAATCATTTCAAAAGGTTATCCAAAATTCTTAAATCCAAAGTAAGACAAAACTACATATTTTGGTCCCCCAAGGTCAAGGTTAAGTTTATTTTTTTAATAGCTCATCCTTGATTAGTGATTTTTCAGAATTGTACCCACAAATGTCTAGCTTTTTTTTTTTACATTGGCATGACGGTGAAAAAAATATGTTGCATCTCGAAGACACACTCTAATGTCCTAATTAAATACATTTGCATTTTGACAGTTAATTTAAATAAATAACTTAAATACATCTTAAACCTAACACAGTGCTGGTCTCACAGTGAAAGCTTATCATCCTCTTTTGAGATTATCCTGACAGACGACCTCAGACCATTAGAATATTTCTGCGGATATTTGCATTCCCCATGTGTTGCACAGTCGTTTTTAAGTTTTCGAAATTAAGGTATATTTTTTTTACACTTGTGTTCTATTAAAATCCATTACAGATTGCAGTCACATTTTAACAGACATAGTCATTTTACAGCTAATAAATTCTTCAAACATTTATGACAATCTAATTATTTTACCTTTCTTTCTTTTTTCCATTCTTTAACTTCTGCATATACCCATAAAACAAAGTGAAAGTAATAAATGAAAAATACAAATCAAAATAAGCACAACAATAATACGTCTACGGTGTAACTGTGATCAGAATACCTGCTAGTGGTGCTATGGATTTGGGTTATTTAAGGAAATACAATTACATATAATAATTGATAATGTTACAATTATCTGTCCCACATTGGATTACTGGGCCCTCTCTGTTAAAGTATATAAAAAAAAATGTTGAACTCACTTTTTATCAAGCTCTGTCCCAGTCTCACCCTGGACTGCTATTCGTCATTACTGATGATCTTGTACTGTTGCAATGAATGCGTGTGCTGCAAATACCATACTTCACCAATCAGATACTTCTCTATGAGAAGCATTAACAGTGTTTTGCATGGCCAAACGTCAACACTTTCGATGATTGAAAAGTTTCAATGGGAAAGTGCCTTTGCAAGCTGTCTAACTAACTAATTTGTTTTCTGATTGACAGGCACTGTTGAAATTCTTAGTGGCAAATGCAAACTCTGACTGACAAATGCAAATCTCACATTTTTTTATTTACTTTTGTAAGAGTGCAGGGACAGGGTCTTTGCACGAAAACCACTAGTTTAAAATGTAGTGGTTTTGGTGACAATCTTAAAACACATTAAATTAAACCTACCTGCAAATGCTTTTAGTTGTTCTGTGAATGTCGGTAATTGTAAATTAAAAGGGAAACAGTTCAAATCTTACAAAAGTTGTAAAACCTTAAAACCTCCCAACTCCGGCGAGACTAGTGGGAGGGGAGTGAAATGTGGGAGCCAGCCTAATGTGAATGCACACAAGGCTGACTGCCAATCAGCCACGGGAGACCACTAGATGCAGGCGCTGCAGGGAGCATTTTTTGGGGGCTATCTTAGTACCCTGAACATAGCTTAAGCACATTTAATTTTGCTTTCACTATGCTAATTGGAAACAGTTCCCTGGTATCCCCAAAATCAGGAGTTCAGGAAACTATGTCGGGGCTGCAGAACACAACCTGGAAATCAGGAATGTCCCAATTAAATTAGGATGGCAGGGAAGCCTAGTATTGTGTATAACAGTGCTTTCTCTTGTGTAAGAGCATCGTTTGTGTTCTAACATCATCTGATCTGATCACATTTAAAATAGTATTTATTTATTTTTTACTAAGAATGGCTGATGGTTAACATTTTTCATATTCAATTCCTGTTAATTTTGCATTTCATTATAGCTTCACAAACAACCCTCAATTAGTTTATTCCATTGCATTATGATTGAATATCTGAGAGTGATTAAATATTTTAGAGGGATGCATTATGATTAAATATTATAGAGTAATGTATTACTTCCTATTTTCTAGTGTAATGAATCCAACAACGAACACGGGAGACATGGTGGTACATAATTCCCTACATACATGTTCATCTGAAACATCAAAGGATCAAGCCAAACATATTTTTGAAGAAATATAAAGCTAGAGTTCTTTGATCCATGGAATGGCCCTAGTCAGGTCTTTCCTTGATTTCTCTGTTTGCATATGGATAGTCGACTATTTGATCAATGCAGTTCCAAATAATTATCTAATTCACTTTCCAGGAACCCATAGAACATGTGCACCACACCTGAGGTATTTATAAGACTGTTGAACATATTGACCAGACTTCACCATTCTGTTCTCTAGCCTTCTTTCTTTATATCATTCTCTATCTTCTTAATTGCTTGACTTTTGAATTTTAACACAGATTTTTTTTTTTTGCCATTCGATAGCACTCTATTTGGTCCTTTTGGAAATCAATTAAGTAGAATTGCGCATTTGACTGTTTGTAGTTCATGGGCCAGACAAAAAAAACAACAACTTTGTGGGTCAAGCTCAAATCTAAATCTCTTGAACTAAATAGTTTTGACAAACCTTGGACATCTTGGACACCTTTTACTGGACACAATGACTTGGTCTCCTCTATGCTGCCATTTGTTGGCCATAATGTATGGGGCAGTAGAGGCCTGTACTGCTTCTTACATAAGATATGATAGATATGATAATTAACTTTCTCACTGTGGCCAACAAGTGGGAGCTGTACGGAAAGAAGGAATTGTCTTTGATTCACCAGGCCAGTTGAGGACATTGTCCGATCTTCTCAGTTGGCCCATGAATGATATCACTTTAGGCCCACCAGGCATTTGTTCAGTTTGCAAAATGACCAGTACCATTACAGAAAAACATAAAGTTAAGAATAAACTGTGTAGATCTGTAAATTTTGAGGGTTCACACTTTTAGCTTGCTTGTATATCCAGATGTGTATTAGACCAGAACCCTGTGATAGATTCTAATGAAGGAAAGCTATATTATTATATTCATAGTAATTTGATATTTGATACAAATAGTATGATACTGCACTATTGTTTAAATATCCAGGATAGAATCCAGTTTGGCTAGGTCTCTTCTAAAACAAGCCTCAAAGCTCCAAG